CCGTCTTTCTTACTTACCTCGCAAGCCGCGGGCCGCCCGGATGTACAGCAGTGCCACCCAGAGGGAGAGGGAGAGGGCGCGCATAGCTCTCGCTTTCCGGGACGGCGTGGGTTTTTCGCTCCCTCTCAGCCTCCGCCCGCCCGCCAATGGAAGGGACGAGGTCGGTTCCGGGGCGCGTTAATCAGCCTGCCCTCCCGGGCACCGCAGGTTCTTCTCCGTGCAGGAGCTGGCCGGGACGAAGGAGAGCTGTTTAAAAGCTCTAATTTGCTTTGCGCTTCCCTGGCCGCCTTCTCGGCGGGCGGGAGGAGCCGCTGCCGTTCTCCCTCAGTCCCGGGACCGTCTCGCGCGCCCTCTCCGGTTTGCCCTGGAAAGGAGGAGAAGGCGACTGGCGACTAGCGAACGGAGAGCAGCCGAGCGGGGTTTCGGGGGGTGGAGGGGAGCGGCCCAGCAAGCGGAGTCAACCCGCCAGGCGAGCCTCTCAGGGCTGCTGCCTCCTGGCCTCCTTCAGGTCGGCGGGTCCTAAGTAATGAAAGGGACCGAAGCAGAGAGAGGCACCTGGGGTGGGGTGGGGTGGGGGCAGGGCTGTTCTTCCTTTAGTGAGGTAATGATGGCAGGAAGCTAAGCAAGCCTTCCTTGGCGAGGGTGGCCAAGGACAAGCAACTGAAGAGAATGAACAGACCAAGAACTCAGGCAACAAGCAAAATGGAGAGTACGGGAATACTTTGGCACCTGGGGTGGGGTGGGGTGGGGGCAGGGCTGTTCTTCCTTTAGTGAGGTAATGATGGCAGGAAGCTAAGCAAGCCTTCCTTGGCGAGGGTGGCCAAGGACAAGCAACTGAAGAGAATGAACAGACCAAGAACTCAGGCAACAGGCAAAATGGAGAGTACAGGAATACTTTGTTCACCTCATTCAAAAAAAGAAGAAGAAAGAAAGAAAGAAAGAAAGAAAAAGAATAGCGGCTCACAGGTTTGAATGAATGAATGAATGAATGAATGAATGAATGAATGAATGAATGAATGAATGAATGAATAGTGGCTCACAGGGCTCTCCTTCTTCCCACTTTTTCCTCACAACTGCTGTGTGAGGTTGGTCAGGCTGAGAGAGAAACTGTCCCAAAGTTACCCCCATCAGTTTTGTGGCTCAGTGTTTGCTTGAAGCTGGGTCTCGCAGGTCCCAGTCTAATATACTAACCTCTGTGCTATGCTATCTCTCAAGAAGTTCTGGACATAGCAGGTTAAGAAAGATACCAACAACCTGGGGCAAGTTCAGAGGAAGGCAACAAGGATGGTCAGGGGACTGGAAACCAATCCCTGTGAGCAAAGACTGAAACAACCGGGCATCTTTAGCCCTGAGAAAATAAGACTTTGATAGCACTTTTCAAACACTTGAAAGGTAAGCCAGACAGAGCAGGGGCATGACCTGTTTGTTCTTCATCATCCCAGAGTGCAGGACACATAATAATGGACTGAAGCTACAGGAAGCTAGATTTGGGCTGGATATCAAGAAAAGCTTCTTAACTGTTAAGAGTAATGTGGCAATGGAAACAGTTACCTTGGGAGATGGCAAAGTGCTGCAACGTTGGAGGCATTCAAGAGAAAACTGGATAACCATCTGTCAGATCTGCTTTAATTTCTATTCCTGCTTTGAGAAGGGAGTTGGACTTGATGACCTTATAGGCCCCTTTCAGCTCAATTATTCTGTGTAAAACTCTGCTCTCAGCAGGATTCTTCCCATGCAAGGCAGCCCCATCATAGCAATTGCTAAAGCCATCACCCAGAGAAAGCAGGGAACAACTGAAAAATAAACAAAAGTGCCCCCAATGTGTGCAATAAATAACTGACCTGTTCCACTGTCCCTGTTGACAGTATTTCATAATAAGAAAACTGCCAACTATGCTGGCAGGTCCAGATGTATAAGCAGGGCAACACAGGTAAAAAAAGGGCCTGGTGTCAGTGGAAATGTTGAGCTGCCCTAAAGCCAGCTTGGGTCCCAGCATTGCTTAGATTTGCCATATTTTGCCCCAGGCTTGAATACTGTATAAATTCCATTAGCTCCTGTGTGTGTGTCTGAAATTTTAGAACCACAGTGCCAGAAGGGATCCCATAGATCATCAAGTCCAGCCCCTGTCAAGGAGGCACAGTGGAGAATTGAACTCCCACCCCAGATACCTATACCACTGAGCCATCCGTCAGGGCAAGCCATTTGTTAACTGATTTTTTGCTCAAAAGTAGAACTAGAGCATCTGTGAACAATACAGTACTTGTAAAGGTTGCCAAAAAAAAGTCAGGGTGAGGTGGAGAGCCCTTTCTCCACCATTGGTCTCTATACAGTACTTGTAAAGGTTGCCAAAAAAAGTCAGGGTGAGGTGAAAAAGGTAACATGGAAATCTCTCATAATCAAGCATAGTTATGCAGTGGCTGTAGCCAGAACTTTAAACCATTTTAATGAAAAATACAACTCTCAGAATTGCAATGAGTAGCTCACACTGACTAAAGGTTCTGGGAATTGTAGTTCAAACAGAAAGGAAGGAAGAAAAATAAAGGAAAGAAGGAAGGAAATCAAGTTTCCAAGCTCTTGCTAGAACCACCATATAATGCTTTATGTTTTCATTTTGTAAAGAAATAATATTGCTTTATAATAATTAGGGATTCTGAATATATAAACTAATGCCAAGAAGGTTAGCTCAAGAGAGAAGGCTGAGTGTTCTTCAGTGATTACTGACAGTTTATTCCAGTATAGAAATGGATGCTTCAGTTAGCCAAGAAGATCACTGTCTGTACTTAGATGTCTTAATTCAAATTTGGCTCAGTACAAGAACAAATAAATAATTGAACTTTTTGGATGGTTCTATGTGATATGTTCCCTAGGGGTTTTGTGCAAGATCTTCTACATGTACTAAAAATGTTATTTTAAAAACCTTGAAAAAAACTTCCCAATTTTTTCCATTCTGTCCACCAACATGCGTGTGTATACTCACTTCCAGCTGTCCCATTATTTTTCAAGTTTTAGACAAAGTCTTCTGAAAACACCTCTACATGTATTTTGTTAATTATATTAACATATTTGTTGAATGTTTCAGTGAAACTATTGAGCAGGACACACCTTCAGCTGCTCTGTAGTAACAGTTCCACATTATGTAAGGGTCTGGTCAATTCTTCCTATATGAAGCAGAGGTCACTATACCAAATGGTGATGTGTACTCCCAAGAATATGGCTATAAAAGTTCTAGCATTTGTATAGGTAGAACAATAGCATCACTGTGCTGTTGGGTGGGTTTATAAGCCTCGTGGCACAGTGGTTAAACTCTCATACTGCAGCCAAAACTGTGCTCACCACCTGGGCTTCAATTTCAGGTAGCTGGATCAAGCTTAACTCAGCCTTCCATCCTTTCGAGGTCAGTAAAATGAGTATCCAGCTCAGTGGGAGGTGGAATGTATAAACCGGACTTGTAAATGGCCCAGAGTGTTTTAAAT